GTGTGTGTGTACGTAAATAGTATATATATATATATATATATATACCTCGTACTCAGCCCTTCTCCACACTCTGATCTGTGCTCTGATTGGTCATATATATCACTCTCATACTCAGCCCCCCCCCCCTTTCCTCACCGCCTCACGCCGTCCCTATACCAACGCATCCCCTCACTCTCCCCCACAGACTGCTCTATCAACTGGACGTCGACAATCTGCCCAACGAATCACACGCACAGTACGTCGTGTGGATGACAGCAGCCATGGCAGATCCAGATGTCATGGACGCAGACACCTCAGCCGACTGTCCTGGGCTGCATGTGTTTGTGCCACCGGCATTTGAGATGACTGCGGGTGTGTTATGCGGAGGTTTTAGGGTTTTAGGGTTTAATGTGATGTGCGCGTTTGTGTGTGGCTGAGGTCTCACACCTCCACTGCGGTCTAAGGTGCGGTTTTAGGGGTTTTTAGGGTTTAGGGTTGGGTGAGTACACTGTGAGATTGTGATATGTCCGACTTTCAACGAATTCATTCTCAGCGCTTTTGGTACACCCATCGAAGCAAATAGGTTTATGAGGTTTAGGATTTTAGTTTTTAGGGGTTTGGAGAGAGAAATAGATCAGTAGTGTGAGTGTATTGCTCTTAAACCAATGGCCCGTTCTCCTCATCACCTCCCTCTCTCATTCTACAGACGATCACAACACCACCATCTCTCACACCAACACCCCTCATATTCACCACCACTCTCTATCTTATATATATATAAATATATATCTACAGATGATCACAACACCTTCATCACTTCTACCAACAGCCCTCGTCATCTTCACCACTCTCCCACTCTCTGTCTCCTGTGTGTGTGCATGTATGTGCAGATGATCTCAATACCATCGTCACACTCAAAGACGGTTCCCCCACAATCCCCAAGAAGGCGTTGGTTGACGCAGCACTGAGTGGAGTGGCTTTGCCTATGCACGGGTACTACCCACCTGCATACGGCCCCACAGGACACAACGCATGGCTCACCTCTGGGCAGACAGTCAGGCTCAAGTATGTGCTTGCATGGGGTGTGAGTGGTAATAAGTGGCATGTGACTGTAATAATGATCCATGAGTACCTGATGTGAGTGTTATAATGATATGTGGGTGTTTACTTGATGTGTGAGTGTTATATTGATATATGGGTGTTTACTTGAAGTGTCAGTGAGTGTCATAATGATCTACGAGTGTATACTTGATGTATGAGTGAGTGATATAATGAGTGATGATATGGCATGTGAGTGTTATAATGATTTACGAGTGTTTACTTATGTATGAGTGGTGATATGATATGTGCGGTTTATAATAATATATGGGTGTTTACCTATGTATGAGTGGTGATGTGATATATGCGTGGTTATGCTGTTGGCGTGGTGAATGCGTATGACTTATCTCTTGGTGTGCTCGCAGAGTTATTGTCTTATGAACGGCATGAGATTGTGAGACTGAAGTATGTGCTGACATAGTTCATAGCTGGCATGCCTCACAAGTTAACGTGTGTGCATGTGCTCGTTTTTCTCATCGGAAAGTAGTAACGCTTTTTGGTCCAGGGAGACTCGCTTGTTTAGGGTTTATAGGGTTTAGGGTTTTCTGCGTGTGGTAGTGTAGGATGAATATTCGCTGTGTGTATGCCGTGGGCTGTTGCTCGGCAAATCATAAAAATTAAATGTTCAGATATCACATATGATACAACAAACCAAACCGTTCACCAACAGAACAAAATGTTCTACCTTTATCGCAGAGTCTCTTTGTTTAATGTTGTTTCTGCACAGGTATATGCAGACGTTACTTTCTGTGTGCAGTTGGCTGGGTGCCTTATCATATGTTATATCTTATAGGCATATGATAAGAATTTGTGTTCATAAATGAATATCTTCTCGTGGATCGTTCCGAGTACTTTACCAATGAGATCGTCTGTGCCCTCTCACGTCTATTGTGAAGCGTAGGCCAATTCTCGCGCATTGCTGTCCACATCGTTTCGCTGTGGTTGCGTTGCAGAGCGCAATCTGTCAGAACCACGTGGCTGCTTTAGGGTTTAGACGTTTTTAGTCCTCTTACCCACACTCATTCGCTGGTTTCCTCTGTCTCTTCGCTCACCTTCTTCTTTCCTTCGTTTTCCTGACACCCCCGTGCGCGTGTGTGTGTGTGTGTGTGCTGGTGTGGTTGTTGTATGTGCTGGTGTGGTGCTTGTGTGTCCGTGCATACGTTCTCCTCTTGTGTTAGCTACGTGACTCGTTTTGAGCCATACTACATAGCCTCAGTCCCTGTGCCGCTGTTCAACGAGACCTTCGTCAACCGAGGGGGCAACTACGCACAGCAGGTGTATGAGATGGCTGCGGCGGGTTATTCCTTCTGGCGGCTACCGCAGGCATTCATCATAGACATTCCCCACTCAAAGGCCACCTGCGCACACGCAGCCCATGACGACGCTGAGCCCGGTACAACCGGGGTTTTAGCGGATATTCACCAAGGTGGGTTGCCATGACGACCGGGGTGTTTGGCGGGTGGTGCGGTGTGTGTAAAGTCTAAGTGTAAAGGGATGTCTTGGCATGTATCCCTGGCTGTGTGATGGTATATATCTATGTAGTAGGAACCACCAGTACGCGAGGCAACTTTTCACGTCGGTAAGAGATGTCCTTACACTTTCAAGTACATGTACAGCATGGAGCGTATCTATGATACACGGTTGTATACAACGGTTGTATCTATGATATACGCTTGTGTGTTGGTGTGTACTTGGACCTACACTTCACAAACACATCACCTCCGCCACCTTCAAATGCTCTCAGATAGCTTCCGGCCATTCATACCAATAGCCGCACTACTGTGTTTGTATGTGCGTGTCATTGCCGAGTATTCCTCTGAAGTAGGTGATCTAAGAGACAGAGATACAGATAGCAATATAGTTGAATGGGTTGTTCCAAGCAGGGTTTTAAACCCTACACCCTTCACACATACATACCTCGCATTATGACACCAGATGATATTGGCGACACCGAAACAGCCACCGAGACCAGCGACAACTCAGACACAAACAAAGACACTAACAGCGCAACAGCCAGTGCTGCTGTGCTGGTGATGAGCAACGAATCAGGTGGGTACTATAACCCTGCGCATGCCAATAACATCCATATATATATATATATAATATTTTATTCATTTAGTTATCTATTTTTTAATATTAATCTAAATATATTTTATTTATTTATTTCTATATTAATATATATATATATATATATATATATGGGTGTATGTGTGTGTGTGTGTGTGTGTTATTTATTTATCTACCTGTCTATATATATGTATGTATATATACGCATCTACGTATATTCATATATTTATTTGAAGTATGCTTATATATATATATATATATATCACAGCATGGTAATAGCACCCACATACCATGTTATATAGCATGCTGGTCACACACGTGTGATGGTATGAGACACCCGTGGGAACATAGACAGGTCGAGGTAGGTTTTAGGAGGTTGTAAGGTTTTATTTCATCGGAGAGGTTACAGATGCATTGCATTTATGCGTGTTTATGGTGTATTATATGTATGCGTGTGTACTGTATGTATGCGTGTGTATGGTGATTAGTTCGGTGGTGAGCTTGGATTTGGGTCCCCCATGCGAGTCACAAGACTTTACTGCTTGCTGTCAGTGTCACACACATACACACACATGTACACACATGTGCATACATACAAACACATACACATATATGTGCATAGTGTCGATCAATGTGTGTCACGTGCGCAAATGCATGCTGTGACTAGGGTTTTAGGGTTGTGACCACATACGCAGAATTGGATATTAAATTACCATAGCAACGACTATCAATGACAGAAGCATCAAGTAAGTGTCTTCTTTATCTGACCTTGAGAGTGAGTGAGGTCGCTAATATTTGCCCCACTTGCACCTGTCCACAGGACAATTGGATCAGACAGGGGCTCTGGTGTCGTCCTTGTGGCTCAACTTCTGGGAACACATTTGCCACAGATACGGCACACACGCACCACACCCAGACTCCAAGGAACCGTACTTTGCGGACTACCGCTTATCTTTGGGCGATCTATTCAGCGCTCAGAAACTCCGTCTTGACACAGTGCCGATGGTAGAACCATCCACGGACAGCCGGAGAGACGAGCACAGATGACCGTTGCCATGACGATGGGGATACCACACCCCGGGTGTTTAGTCATGTTCTCTACTTTACCTTAGCGATTGGATTAAGTCTGGATACACACTCACAGCTATGTTAAAAGCTCCTGAATGGAACTGAGCCCAACTCGCGACACGCCAGGGCGCAGCAGCGTTTTACTAAAATCCTAACCCCTAAACCCTATAGCAGAGAGTGCACTGATCTGTGAGACTAAACACGTCGGCCCAAGTGGTTGGTGGCATCACACGCCAGTGGGCAGGCGATTTGTGTGTGACAGCAGCCACAGGTCATGTGCTCTACACAGTGTATAGGCCCAATGAAAGCCCCCGCAATCCTCAGTCTCGTCTGTGACTGTTGTTGAGGTGTGGAGGCTGTAGGGTTTTAGGGTCTCATTCTCACTGTCGGTCTGTGTGGTAGGCTGAGGCTCACACTGCGTAACACAGTACACACGAACCCACAAGCCCTGACGACAAGTCACGGGCAGTAACAGCCCATCCACAGAGATGGCATAGTAGCAGCAAAGACTTACCAGCACGACGACGGAGACAGGCACCACAATGGCACGAATGACAACACCCACACACGTGGCTATGGATAATCTGTAGTCAAAGCGTGCACCCGTACAGGGGTCATTTAAAGCGTGCACCCGTATAGGGGTTATTTAAAGCGTGCATCCGCATAGGGGGTGGTTATGGGTCACACAGCGCCCATACGCATGGAATTCGAACCCATGGAATAGATGCATATATATGGAATATATACATATGCATGGAAAAATAGAACCATGGAATATATGCTTATGCATGGAATTAAAGCACCATGGAATATATGCATATACATGGAATTAAAACACCATGGAATAGATGCTTATGCATGGAATTAAAACACCATGGAATATATGCATATACATAGAATTAGAACACCATGGAATAGATGCTTATGCATGGAATATATGCATATGCATGGAAATATAGAACCAAGGAATAGATGCATACACATGGAATTAAAACACCATGGAATAATAGAACCATGGTATAGATGCATATACATGGAACTAAAACCCCATAGAACATATGCTTAAGCATGGAAATATAGAACCATGGAATAGATGCATATACATGGAATTAAAACACCATGGAATATATGCTTATGCATGGAAATATAGAACCATGGAATATTTGCATATACATGGAATTAAAACACCATGGAATAGATGCTTATGCATGGAATTAAGACACCATGGAATAGATGCTTATACATGGAATTAAAACACCATGGAATATATGCATACACATGGAATTAAAACACCATGAAATATATGCATCTACATGGAATTGAAACTCCATGAAATATATGCCTATACATGGAATTGAAACACCATGGAATATATGCATATACATGGAAATTTAACACCATTGAATATATGCATCTACATGGAATTAAAACACCATGAAATAGATGCTTATGCATGGAATTGAAACAATACTTAAAGTCGACTACACAGTCATTGCGGTGACAGTTATGTAGACATAGACACCTGTTGCACTATCATTGCCATGCCAGTGTGAACACACCGCACGACATCGTTTCGTTTTTGCGCTATTGGTTGACGAAGGAAAGGACACAAGACTACCCAAACGTGTGACAAACTAAACGACTGAATTCTCTCGTCCGGACATATACTGAACACATGGGTATGAAGGCATCACTACTAACCATGAGCATCACTACTAAATCACTACTAACAATGAGCATCACTACTAAATCACTACTAACAATAAGCACCACTACTAAAAATCACTACTAACAACAAACATCACTACTAAATCACTACTAACAATGAATCACTATTGACAATGAGAATCACTACTATATCACTACTAACAATAAGCATCACTACTATATCACTACTAACAATAAGCATCACTTACTAAATCACTACTAAAAATGAATCACTATTGACAATGAGCATCACTACTATATCACTACTAACAATGAATCACTATTGACAATGAGCATCACTACTATATCACTACTAACAATAAGCATCAAAACTATATCACTACTAACAATAAGCATCAAAACTATATCACTACTAACAATAAGCATCAAAACTATATCACTACTAACAATAAGCATCAAAACTATATCACTACTAACAACGTGCATCGCATTCCAGTTCACGGCACACTCCTCTACGGTTTGGTCGCAGATTTCTAATACAATTAAACCACACACCTCCCAACAAAAAAAATATAAAATAAAAATGGAGTTCCGTGGTTCCAGGCAAGGCAGGTATGACATCCATTGCTTACGTTAATACGTTCACCATTTACCCTAAATTCTGAAACCATTCCACACTGAGCGTTGGACAGTGGCCAGGCCGAACAAACGCTCTCACATACCATTGTTTTGATATTGTCAGGGGTCGTAATACTGAACATGACAGCAATGTGACACGACACCACACAGATGATGAGCCTAAACCTATGCTTATCACATACCTAGGCAACACAGTGTTCTACTGGTTTGATGAACGGGCCGAATTGCATACAACAGGATGCAAGGGATGTGTCTAGGTATGAACAGATATGTGAGAACTTCATGTTCAGCAGTTCACGATAGCCATTTGATTTCAACGAAACCAGCTACTCGTCAGGTCTGTCAGGCACTCAATGGCACTACTATAAACTTGGTTGAATGCTATACACGTGAAACAGAGCGCAAACATTTGACCAAGCTTTGAATGGAACGGAGCAGCTCAGGTGAAGACACGGCTCATTCAGATATCAATCCCGCTGCCTGTCTCGTAATGACACCCAATGATTTTATGCACAGAATATCAATCATCACAAGGGCAAAGTTGTGTTTAATTGCATTCGCCGACATTCCTATTCCAACTCGCCGATCTCGTGTTATATACAAAGCATTAAATCAATATATTACGCGCGCCGCTGGATCATCAGCGAGGGGCGCGTGTGTGTGTGCACGTGTACGTGTGCATAAACATACACGTGTGTGGGGGCTGGTACATGTGCGAGGGTATTTATACTAAATTACATGTACAATGTGGGCCCTAGGAGGTCGGCGGGAGTGGTGACACCATCCACATGAGTGGCAACAGACTTCACAGCCGCTTGTTTGTTTTCGCAGAGTTACTTCTCTTCGCACCATTCGTTCTCCTTGCGCACTTGCTCCTCCTCCTCTTTCGTAAAGTCGTTTTGTATGTTGAACGTCTTGCGAATCTCTTCGGCATCTTTGCCTGTCCAATCAAGTAGCACCAATGGTCAGCAGGCGGACGACAATTGGGATATGATCTCATACCGAACAAAACTGATATACCAAACACTCGGGTGACGAAATATATCAGCTTCAGAAAAGTAATTCACCGCCAACACGGAAATGAAAGTGGGTGAAAACGGATTCAACAGGTTAAAGCTCATACTAAATTGCACTAGGGTGTGCATCCACACTACAGAAGTAGGTGTAGAGATGTGCACTACAGAAGTCAGTGTAGAGATGTGATAAAGCCATGCGGAATATACACTCAACTCAACGAACAGGTGTACGTAAACAAGGTATGGTTGCCCCACGTACAGGTGCACTGAACGCAGGTGCATATACATCAAGGACTGTATGCACACCAGGAGACGTACCCTTAATCATATTTGCCACAGTCTTGCAGGTGAGGTCCAGCAGAGACTTGATGTCGAGGTAGTTGGCTGCCAGGATCAGCTCAAAGAGAGTGCCCTGTGGGAGAACAAGCGCACCTGTTAGGCAACCAGAACTATTGGAGAAACACTTCCCATTGAGCGTAAGCTGCCACAACGATGCAGACAACCACCGTAACAAACACCTATGTCACACTGATACGGTAATTCATCGACACCTAGAGGGCTCTTCCACAGCGATATATTAGACGTTGATGGATTGGAGATTGATGGATGAAATATCGATGGATTGGAAGTGGTATCCCTATGAATGTTCAACACTTGCAAACTGAGTACAACTACAGTGTAGCACTTCATTTAAGAACCATTTACGCGTCGACGAATGGCCGAATCAGCGCTACATTGATTCTGGTTAAACCTGACACGAAGGCACTTCGACAACAATATTTCAGGCCTATGGTAAAACAATAACATAAAACGCTGAAAACTTCTTAGAACGATAAACGGTCAAAACTAGCCACACAAGAAGTCGAACGGAAATCAGGAGTACATTCGACGAAAAACAAGTGCCTAGGGACTCGAATGTATAGCAAAGGTATACAATAAGGCTATCAAGTAGATACCTGTATATACTCATGCATTTGTATAAGTCGACACATATGTGTGTGTGCGTATATGTTTATATATATATATATATACGTATATATATATATATATGTAAGTGTGTGTATGTGTATATGCAGATACATATGCATACGATATGTATATGTGCACATATATATATTTTTATACAAACATACATACATCCATAGATATATATATATATACTATATAATAATAATAATATAAATCATAATTTATATATCTGTACAAGTATATGTAATATATATATACATATACATTTCTATCTTTATGTATATATATATATATATATAACTATCTATCTATCTATACATAAGTGTGTGTGCATGCATACATATATGTATATTTAATAATAATAAATGAGAATTTATATAGACATATATACATACAAGAGTATATATATATATATATATAAACTTGCACAGATTTACTCCATAACTCTTAAAAAACACAAGCGCAAAAACGATGAATTTGTACGCCTACAGAAGCAGATACGTACAAGAGACCAAAATAGTACACGTGCATGGATGAATCGAAAACGAGAGCCACATCTGGCATAAAAGCGTATAGACAACACCACACCTCATGCACCAAAAGTGGACCACATGCCGTCTACGTACAACCCATGCTCAACAAACACAAATGTACATACAATCCATGCTCAACAAACACAAATGTACATACAATCCATGCTCAACAAACACACATGTACATACAATCCATGCTCAACAAACACACATGTACATACAATCCATGCTCAACAAACACACATGTACATACAATCCATGCTCAACAAACACACATGTACACACACACACGGAGTCTGTACTGTACCTGATCTGCGCCCACAAACTTCTGGTCCCATGGATCGATGTCTTCTAGTGCGCGTTCGCGAGTGGTCTCGTCGTCTGTAGCCAGCACCACATCGTCCTTGTGGTGCTTGCAGTAGTTAATGACCATCTCCAGGATTTGCGAGTTTACATTTGGCAAAGGAATGTTCGGTACCTCGTCGTTATCGAGTCCAAGATCTGATACATGGGAAGAAATAGGATTGCGTCAAGACAAGGCGTTCACAAACAGAAATATCATGTTTCTAAAAACACACAATAATATCATGCTTCTAAAAGACACACACAGTGATATTATTCTTGTAAAAACACACACAGTCATATCATGCTTGAGAAAACACACAATAATACCATGTTTGTAAAAACACACACAGTAATATCATGCTTGTAAAAACACACACGGTAATATCGTGCTTGTAAAATACACATCATGCTTGTAGAAACACACGCAGTAATATTATGCTTGTAAAGCGGCATGACGCGAAGGGTGTTGCACCGGCCTGGACCCAGTACATACTAAACCAAGCTAAAATAAACAACTCTAGCCTTGTAAAACATTCTATATACACAGACTGCGAGTATCATCTGTCAGGTGCACACACAAAAAAGTATGGATATAACAATGACTGCAGCATATTGCAATGCAACGCGACCATTGTACAGATACGTGACGAGCTTCTCCGTTTTACAACACGTGAAGGGTTTGTTTGTTGCTGTTGTAGATAGTACTCATGCATGCCAACACGCAAGCTAGTCCAACTAAATCTTTGGAGCAATGTGTTTCGTGTCTGAAAGAAGAAGAAGACATGGTCACCCGTGACAACAAACAAAACATCATCCGTGTTGTGCGTATGGGTGGAAGGGAGAGGCGATTGGACTTGGTTTCTATGACGCGTCCGCCTGCGATCAACTCGTTTCGTTATAGCGTTCTCGGTTGGTGTGTGTGTGTGTTAGATGATGTATTGACCGTGGTTGCTGTTGTTTTTCGTGTGCCCCTCATCCCCTTATCTCCCACATGCATGCTTCAGATATTGGCTCGTAGCTGTTCTGTAGGTATGCAAACACACCAGGACAGTGGGAGTGTGTGGCAGGCAAGAGGAAAGTGCATCGTCCTCTTCTCGTACACATAAAACATTGGATTGCATACTTAGTATCGATGGCCACTAGTTCAGAGGTTCTCTCATTTCCCACTACATACACATATATGCACAATTGTGTGCCTTCAGTAGCCAGTAATGCATGAATCGCTTCTCGAACTATTACACAATATAGTGCTTCCCTGACAATGTGGTTTTGTGTCGGAATACCAATTTCCGTCTACTATAACGTGTTTTCATGCGCATGTCGGTGCCCGGCGTTTCATCTAACTACCACACTTGCTCGCGACTTCTCAGCCTATCTCATTCTCCCGATACACACACATTGTGGATACATCACTATGTCTAAGTCTGACTGCTGTGCTGTGGCTTGTACATCTGTTGATCAACCAGCACATGCGCTTTTTCATGTGACATTATGTCTATCCCTCTCCTTATACTTAACACCTTCCGAAGCTCCAACATACATCAATTCCGTCTGTTGTATTCATCCTCCGACTGTAACAACGTTCACACATTCGAATAGAAGCAACGCGCGTTGTCTAACCTAACAATATAAAGTAGTAATCCCGACTATTTCGCAGTCAGTATTTCAGTGCGACACTTTCGTGTGTGGCCTAGATACACATACCTCTCTCAATACCAAGCCATACTCCAATATAGATACAGAGCATTTGTGCCTATTGAGGCACGCAGGTTTACGTAGTCAAAGACGAGGATATCATCCTCATTACACGACCCGTACATAAGATGTCACGATGAAACAGACATACTTCGTATAACATATAGTACGTACACAATATAGAAACAAAGTTACAAGCACATCACAGCCACCGGTTGGTTCATACTATACCACCTACACCATGTTATCGTTTGGCAAATACATACACACCTTCCAGCATATTCCTAATAGTCACAGACATCTTAGCGACCTTGGCCTCCACTTCGAATTCGCGGTCGTCCGAGCTGCATAGCTTGACCATTTGGGTGTCGGTGTTCTCTTCAGTCATTGTGTATTGTGTATTGTATGTGTATGTGCGTGCTTTGTAGGGATTAGACAGTGTCGTGTGGGTGTGTGTACGTGTAATACGTAGGGTGTTGGCAGTGTCGTGTGTGTGTTTGGTTGACCTTTGAATAGCTTCTTGTTAGTCTAATTAGTGTTTATATTTTTGTCACCGTTGTCCGGCTGTATGATGTCCGAACGCAAATGGCGGCAAATGAGTAATAAATAAATGGACCGCTCTTGCTGACACTGGCCAAGCCCTTGAACTAATTGAAAAAAATGTTTTGGACCGGTCCTCGGCTATGAACCCTTGCGATAAATAGTGCTAAAACTAATTCTCCAAACCAACCAAGTCTGACAAATTGAGAGTGACAACACATCTTCCAGAAGCTTACCATCCAAATTAATTCAATTGCAGTCAATTAGTTTTGTCACACATACATAATATAATCATAAGACATTTTATATAGGGTTTTAGGGTTCAAGTACAAAACCAGAGATGAGACTTTAGAGAGTTCAGGAGGCTGCTGTGTCAATTGAAGAAGAGGCTATGCTTTAAAATCATGAGGTAAAGTTTACTCGCGGTTGTATATATACTCACACTGTCTTGTGACCACTCATCACTTTCCGATCCTGAATAGTGAAACACAACACTGAACCGCTACGGCCAGGAATCTATAAGTAAATATCATCACGAAATGAGAGACTGTATATCCTTTTCTAGACGTGTGCTTGAAGACAAGGAGAAATGATTTATTGAGCTGCCACTATATGTCTATACAATCTACGGTGCTGCTGTGCTTATCGACAATTAGCCCCTTAGCAGTGCACTTCAACTTTCTGCCTTCTTGTATTGTAGAACATTAGCGAATCCTGTATCAATGTATCACCTTATAATGTGTTTATGTTCCCAAGGCTAGTATATAATATAATTTGTCTTGCTAATTGCTTGTATATGTAGTGTTTTAAGGAATAATTCAAAACTGTGGCAAATCGATACGTGTTTGGTTTTACGGGACTAAGATATGACAGTACACTGACTTCAATTCTATTATGAAGTTGCTTTAGTTTATGAGGTTTAATACAATATGCAGCCACCGAAATTATCAGTGGTATTTTATGGAGTGTAGTCTAGACAAAGATGAAGAAGTATATCGATGCTGTATCCTCGTAGATGAATGATATACCAAGTTTCGCCACCTCAATGCTAAGGACTCGTATACTGTTGTCAGCCTTCTCGAATTCGTCGCGCGAATGCGTATCTGATACAAGAAATCTACCTCACTCGTGTCACTGCGACATGCTCTCCAACACTTGATATGTACAACTTCTACCCACCCCACACAACGAGCCTTTGGCGTCAGAGGGACAAATATCTCTCAATATTCGTGGCATACATCTAGTCGACAAGTACCGAACGCAATTAATTAAAGCCAGACGAGACTGTGCAGTGTGTTGGCGTAGTAGGATTACATTCAGTCATTCAACAGAAGTGTAGTGAATTTATACAAAAAACGCATGCAAAAGGTGTCAAACTCGGCCACGAACATGTTACAGATATTGGCATGTGTCAAATGAAAGAGTATGGCTTAGCCCTCTCAAAAGGCCCTCTTTTCACTTCTCTTTGCCTATCAAATTAATCTTAATAGCTCACTCTACTAGAGACTAGGTAGAGAGCGCTCGCTCCGAATCCTGAGCCTTGGATTGAACTCCGCCTGACACTAACCCTAAAATAAATAAATAACCCGAGAGACCCCACAGGCCCACAAACCCACACTATAGACAACTTTGAAAGAAAAGTTGCCACAAGTGAAGTGAGCAGTCCACTTCAGTATCTTTGTGTTTTGTGAAACATCAACCACTACATAAGGAACTCACTATGTCTGATCCTAAGGTGGTTGAGCTGGACGATGATGGCAATATCGTCGACTATGCCGATATGGGCGGTCAACGTAAAGAGGAAAAAGTATGCTGCACTTGTTTTGAAGATGTTCACAGTACCAATATATAATGACTAAGCGACTAAACCATGTTCTCGATTAGTATCAATATGTACCGCACGCCGGGTAACTTTAATTCCGAGAAATTTATGGTTGAATGTACGAGATTGTATAATACATGCTGTTCCTTGAGTGTTTAATCATACTATAAAGTGAAACGGTATGTGTGTATGCCTGATCCATGCTGAGTGCGCATGTCTCTGACCAGTTTGTTGTATCGCGGCTGGTTTACAGCTGATTCCTTTTATGTATTTACAAATATATAGTCCAGGATAAAAGCTCTCATCAACTACCAACGTTAAAAGTGTATTTTATGAATATAGTATTTCGATAACTATCATATCTTTATATGTATAT